AATTCAGAAGGAATGATGGGAAAAAAAAACATGATAAATTCATCCTACTAAATCACTCGATCAGCCTACTATGAGCAACATGCACAGAACATTGAACAAGCAACAGTATAAGATTCCACTGAAAACAGCAATTGAAAGCCAAAAGGGACATGTAATACCCAAGATATGCATGTACCGAACAAGTTTCAAATTTGAGAAGACACCACTAAGAAGGGCTGGCTTTCCTTGGGAGTTACAGCCTACTCTGGTTAGAACTGAACCCCAAAAAGTGCCAAAACAGTTAGGTACCTATTAGCAGATTAGACATACGGAAAAGCTAAATCAGACAAGTTTTTAGGCAAATTTACCACTTGATTTTAATCAGCCTCAACCCAGGTAAGTAGCTAATTACACAGAGCAAGGCTGATCAAAACAGGTACATGAAAAAATTATCAAAATGTACAATCAACTCAACTTCAAATTAAAAAAAAAAAAAAGGTTAAAACTTTAAAGAACGTGCAATACTAGAAGGAACCAAGTGATGGGAAGTGAAATGAAAAAAGCAAAGCAGATAGTGGGAGGCAAAACAAAGAGCAATAAAGAAAGGATTATTGCAGAAGAAGAAAAAACTTACCTTTGAAGGGTATGAGAGATTGTCCTGGTGCTCCTCCCCTTTATCTTTGTGAAGAAAGCAGACCCTTTAATTCATGCGAATTCTCATTTGTTGTACGAAAAAAGATAATAGACTTTCTTTCCTTGATGTGTGAAACAACGGTATGTCTTTGTACAAAGCATCCGATGCCCTTTTTTTTTTTCCCTTAGGTGTCTCTTTCTCAATGAGTTCAGTGAGTGTTGTCTTGATAGTTGTGGTTGAGTGACGAGTAAAGAATGAATAACAGTGAAAGTGAAACCCAATAATAACAACACAACATGTTGGTTTTAACTTTTTAACCATAGTTGGTTTTTTTCATTTAAACATAGAGTTACTCCTCTAATTTCCTATTACCTAAAGTCTGACGTTGATGGCAGTGGAGATGAACACGTATCATCCTTCCACGGTGCCACATTTCTGTTCTTTCCTATTTATTAGATCTACAGCGGGCCTCCCTAAACCAAAGAATTAATTTGCTTTAAATAATATCGGAATCATTACGTTTACCACTTTTAAATTCTTTAGCTTCTAAAACTTTTTACAATTCTTTAACTATAAAGGAGCTTAACGTTTGTATATTTTTTTAATTTTACTCTAAAAATTTTATTTTGACAATTATAAAGTTTTTTAAAAATTAAATAATTTTTTATAGTCAACTGATATCAAAATTTTTGTTAACCAGATAATAACATTGAAAGCGCAATTGAAAAGGGAAAAAAGTAACTCTGGAAATTTTCTTTGTAATTATATTTTTTCAATGTTGATTTATAATCTTATCTCATATTTAAATAATATTAATTAAAAAAGTTACTAAATCAAGCAGAAGATTAATATATTTCATATATAAATCTTTTATCGTATAAATATAATTATTTATTTAAACCAACAACTAGTTGGTCTAATGGGTTGAGACACTAAGGGTTGTTTGTTTGCTTTTTAATAGAATCATTCAGTGCATTTGTTTCGCATATCTGAATGATTCAGTGCTGACTGATTCAGTAAAACAGTGCTGAATGATTCAGCACAGAAGTACATTCTGAATCATTCAGAACCAGTTATCAAACAACATGTCACATTCAGAGCCAAATCATTCAGAGCCTTTGAATCATTCAGCACTTAATCATTCTGAAGTAAACAAACAGCTCCTAAGTCTCTTAAGCAAAGTTAGGAGTTCGAATATTGGCGTTTACGAATGGAGCAAACTGAATTGAGATGGTCGCCTTTGTCTCTACAGTATTCGATTCAGATTAGTCGACCAATAAATCAGAAATCGGTGGTTATATAAAAAAATCATCTACTTAACAAGGGGATGTGTTTTTAAGTATTATAAAGGGATTAGTTCATATTAATATGACGGAGGAATATTTAATGAATATTTTGAAACATTTAAAAATTTAATGAATTAACAACCAGTTGATCTAGTAGGATGAGGCACTAGGTCTTTTAAGCAAGGTCAGAGATTCGAATCCTGACGTTTGCGAATAGAGCAAATTGGATTGGGAGGGTCGTCATCGCCTCTGCAATACCCGATCTAAATTAGTCGGTCAATAGATCGGATATTACTGATTAATTCAAAAAAAATCAATGATAAATAAGATCATTTTAATGAAAAATAATAATAATCATTTACGAATTTAAAAGGAATTAATTTATATTAAAATGCCTTCATTTTCATTAAGAAAAAATATGTCATTCTCTTAACTATAATTAATAACTATTAATCGTATAATGTTTTTTATAATTGAATCAAAAGTTTAATGAATATTTTATAACTTTTAAATTTTTATTGATAAAATATTATTTTAATATTATTTTATAGTTATTTATATACTTTATTCTTATTTAAATATTAAAACTAAAATTTAATACTAATCAAAACTTTATATCAAATGTTTTTTTATCTTTTGTTTATTATAACAGTGTTGTTTACGAGAAATTACTTTATAAACTCTCCTCACCACAATTGATATGAATTCAACCAATAAAATTAAAACATATCAGCATTATTTTTCTTAGCCATCATTAAATTTAGGCTTAATTTTTAATTACTTATTTATTTCCATATCAACAATAAATCTCCTCTCTTCTTCAACCTCTTAACTCCCCCTCCCCATCCCATGGTTCCATATAATAATTCTTTCTTTCAATTTAGGGGAAAAGAAAAAGAGAACAAGGAACCATAACTGGATTTGCACTTGAATGGTAGAAACATCAGTTTTGAATGATTTAGCTAATACAATATCATCAATGTTGGTTGCAAAAAGGGTTTTCAGAAGCGATACAGTTCCTACATTTGCACTGTCAAATGCAGAAATCGGAACAGCTGGATTGTTATCATCAGTATCGTATTGATGTGCACCAATCCTTTAGGGTCTAGGGAACAGAAACATGTCTCCCGATTGTAAACTCTATGGGAAAAGCTTGTTCATCGTGTCAACAAAATCAACTTCGAGATTCCCACCGAAGAGGAAAAGCAGCTCAGCTGCACGAGGATGCGTGTGGAAAGGGTTGACAAGCATGGGAAGGAAGGAAGGAAAGTGACAGTAATTATGGTGATTGTGGTTTAACAAAGGGGAGAGGAGGAGGAGTTGGGGAGGTTGAAGAAGATATGGAGATTTAACGCTCATATAAAAATAAATAATTAATTTAAAATTAATCTTAAATTTAGTGATGTTTAAAAAAATGTTAGAAATATTTTAATTTGATTGGCTGGTTTCATATCTTACGTGATAAAGATGATTCATAAAATAGTTCCTTGTTGTTTACACTACCTAATATAACTTATATGGATTATTATTTAATGCGCTAAGGATTATAAGTGTTCTTAATCCACCGAAAAATCTCACCATTAATAATTATACTATATATGTATATATAACACGAATGTTTGATATTTTCTTAAATTCTTATTTATACCCAATAATTTTTCTTAAATTTTGAAAGGGCCCAAATAACCAACTTTAGAATATATATTTTTTCGTTGACTGAATATTAGTTTAGTTGATAGAATTGTTGTTACAATATTTAGAGATTATAATTGAAATACTCTTAAATCTAATTATTTCTAATTTAAAGATTAGAATTATGTGTAATTTAAACATATTATATTTAAATAAAAGTACACTTCCTCGAACAAAAATATACCGACCATTTTAAAAGGAAACAGCAAAATAACAACTCAAGAAAATATACCGATTATTTGACAATGAACGTTCAATCACCCTTGTAGTTGCTGGTACTCGAACTTGTGATCTTTAGAAACAAAAACAATTCCCTTAACCACTGAGGTAAGTTAATTCATGCAAATGTCTCAGTTATTTATTCTAGGTATCATATATATAATTTAGATTGATTTAATAATTATTTTAAATATCTAAAATGGAAAAAGACAATCATTAAGAGTTACTTTATATAAAGTCAACAAAATACAATACTCGAAAAATGTTTTTTTAACAAGATGGGATGATTATAATGTAACATCTCTTCAAAATTTTCTTAACCTTATTGACAATGCACACACATGAGATATACACAATTGCTTGAACTCAAGAACTCGGGGAGAATAAACTTCCTTCATTATTACTTTAATCATTATACGAGTGTGTGCCGTGGCACGACTTTTTTAAAGGAATGGAAGAAAGAACAGCGCTCTGTTCTTGTTTCATCACATAATTGTTCTCAAAAGAGCCCTCTAAAAAAGTTAAAAAGTTGAACTGATGGCCTAATTTCTCTTCATAGCCATGCCAATTTCCTTATGTGGCTTGATATTTTCCACAAGTTCAGGGACAAATTCTGTAGCATATCGAAATGTACAGCTAGAACATGGATACATTACCCATAGCTCGAAATTGAAATGCGACAATAAAGTCGCATACCTGAGACTTAACAAAGAATTCAATATAAGCAATTCGAATAGGTTGTTGATGCCCCGACAATAACAGATGATGTTGATTTGCTGAAGTGAAATGGTAAATATGGTGTAAAGAATAAAAATACAGAATCAACGTATCTATAGGATACTTGGCGATCACAACGAAATGCGGTCACGAGATCAGTGTTTACATCATATGTGAAATCTATCTGCAAAGAGGATGAGTGGTTAAGCTTCCAAATTCTTGAAATCCCAACAATGTTCGCTTATGAGTGTGTAAGTAAAGCAGCACCTGCAAGTCTCCATGGCCTTCGCTTGGGGGTCAGGCTGTATAATGATCTGGATGCTCAACCCCGGCCATTCTAGATCATCGTTTGCTTCCTTCAATGCTGCAGACTGATTAAAGGAAAACTATGGTTGTAATTAGCCAACCTGAATTTCTATATTATAATTTTGTTTCCCCAAACCAGAGAAGTTTACTATAACGCTGTGCATGTATTTTGATGAATTAAAACAAAGAATTCTTATTGCAACGAAAAAGCTGTAAGACATCCTCAACAAAACCCAAACATAAACTTCAAAAGAAAATAGCCACTCCTTAAGGATCAACCAAAAATATCATAATGGGTTGCCCATAATCACATGCTATATACTTTAAACTATAAGTGAACTCGAGTCAGCCATCATGTCTTGCAAAGAAACAACACATCAAATACTTTACTGAAAGGACCGCATTTTTGCTGCAGGGACCATCTTTAAATTGTCCTTGATCATATTGGATGACTTTCTAGGCTGCCAGTATTATGATCACGATCAGAAGCACAATTCCAAATATCACTAGGAGAAAGCAGGTCTGCACATAAAAGGTAAAGAAAATAATGTCTATCTTAATGAAGTTTTACATCCAATGCACCATTTTAATTTCGTAAAATAAAAGAGAGGGAGCATTGTGTTACCAGAGAAGAATTTGATCTCTGGCTCTTTGCTGCTTTCACGAGATGGGATTTTGCTTGCGAAGTGGCAGCCTGAGAATTTTCAATATGGGTCCCAATGTCATCTGCAGCAGACATTGACTATCAGTGCTTTTCTACATGATCCAGAAGATCAGAACAACCATTGTGAAGTCCATGCAAAAGATAACTTTTTTTACCAATCATAGTTCCTTGATCATGAACTAGCACAGCAAGATCTTTGAAGATCCCATTCACCTCACCAATTTGCTGCTGAATTTCTTGAATTCCTTGTTCTCTTTCATCAATGATAGCCACATTAAATGCAATCTCATTATCCAACAGCAAGACCTCTTGTCTGCAAGGAAAAAATGCACAAAAGCTAAAGGCCGCCAGTTGGAAAATCAAATTCATAAAAATCAATAATAAGATGATACAGCATATAAACGGTCTAAACAGATAGCATCCTTGGATCACATAAGATTTTCTTCTCTTAATTCTCAGCACGAAAAATGGACAATACATGTACATATGCACGGTTTGGGGAATGAACATGATCAATTACCATTGCATAAGTATTGAGAATGCAAAATTAAGACATGATATGACTCAGGATATTTTGATTAATTATGGTGCTCCATCTACATATGCATATTGATATGCAAGCAAGCAAGTGTGCATGTAAACACACAGATCCTGGGAAAAAGAATGGGCATGGTTCATACAAATACATAATCCATTTAGATAAGTGATTCAAACTGTCTGTACCATGTGATGGGGATGGCTTGCTAAAAATTCTAAAGCAGAACTTACCTTCTTGATTCGACAAGAAGGGCTCTCTGTTCGGCACTTTTATCTGAACCTATTTCCATCTCACCCGCTGTATAGCTTCATATAACAGGAAGAAACCTCTAGCATAAGATTAAGAATAACATGCCTAAGCCTAAAGCAAATTGAAGGATAGCACATAACAACCTAAATTTGCAACCTGTAACTTGCGGAAAATTCAGTAATCGATATAGATATTTTATAAGTGATTTATTAAAAACATTGCTAATAACTCAATTTTCCATGTAAGCGCTCCTATGATACATACCTTGAAGGAAGAACTGCATGAGGAACTGAAGGAGAATATGATGTTTCTCTTTCAGCTGCAAGCCGTTGAGCCTTTTGAAACTCTTTCAAAACAGCTTGAAAATCCTTTGCAAGTTTGGCATCTGTTATCTTCTTGCTTGCCTACAATGACAAGAAAGGACATAGTAATAATAACAAATATCAGAGCTTCTTCGCTTGGTTGACATATTCAACCAGAAGCCAAACTTACGCTAACTTCAGCGTTATGATCTTTTTCACTAGCTTGTTTAAGTTTAGCCGAAGTGTCCTTCACTAATTGCCCAATATGTAGCCTTGTTTTATGCCTGCCGAATGAGAAATATCAGCAATACTGCCCACTCATGATATATTTAGCATACTTAAAATCACTCAAGAAAACAGTCAGAAAGCAACTTTTCCCATGCAATACAAGCATGCAGACTTAAAAAATAATCAAGAAAATCACACATTAAAATCAAGAAACGTCACGTCCATCTAAACAAAGATGAGGATTATCTGAGCTTTCTCCATAGGAAAGTCAAATTTAACTTGATCAAGGGGATAATTTATCATCCCGAATTGGCTTTCAATCTTTCTTTTTGAAATAAACGAAGCAAAATTGAACAAAATTAAACCATGAATAAATAATCTTGATTCACGATTAAAATAAGATCGAACAGAAATCACGTGGTCAGTTAAAATTTCAATCGGGGCAATTGAATTGAGCAAGACTAACAGCTTTTCTCGGAGCTCAGGCGTGTCCTTTGGAGTGCCCAGGGTATTGACGAGTCGCTGGAAGGTGGAGACGGCCGTGTTGATTTGGAAAATGCCAGAAGCCACAGCTTGCGAGGCGTCTTGCTTTCCATTGATCGGGGTTTGCCTCGACGCATATGGCCGTCCAGCTTCCAGATCTTGAAAGCTCATGATTGCTCCTTCTCTGTAAAAATCCTAACTTTCCCGAGAAAATTTAGAGAGGAAATTTTCTAGAGAAAGGAATGGGGAAACAAAAGGAACAGATAAGAGGGGATATTCAATTGCACGGTTAGGAAAAACACGAGGGAAATTTGGTGAAAAAAGAGAGCCCAAGAACAGAGCGAGAATTGAGGCACACGACACAGAAATATAAAAGAAACAGAATGGAATTTGACGTTTTCAGAATAAGATTTTTGCTTTTTCAATTTATTTAAAAGGTAAACTATAAAAATAATCACTTGTCTTTTACATTTGTATATTTCTACTCATCAAATCCATAAAATTCAAGTTTGGATCATTTATATTAATGTTTTATTAAATTTTAAATGTCATTAGTTTAATGAGGTGACATGTTAATAAAAAATTATTTTTTTATTTTATCTCATGAAATTTAGATAAAATATTAATTATAGACTTTTTATAAATCTAAAATAAATTAGAAACAAATATTCAATTCACCTTTTTTTATTAATATGATTTGACTTTTTTATTAAAATTTTATTTATATGTTTTATTCATATGATCATTTATCTTTATTCGACTTTTAATCACCATTCACAAATTGAAGTAACCAACAAATGTTGTAAAATTGCGGTCCCTAGTCAAAGAAGGTGTCATTTGTTGAACCAAAATATGTTGTATTGTTTTGGACGAGCGTTTGATTGAGTCTAGCCAAATATTTTGAGTTATTCGAGTTGACGAGTCTTATTTTATAATTTAAACTTGATTTGAATTTTTCGAGTCGAATCGATTTTTGCTCACTCATGGTATTACTAGTTGATCAACTTATTTGGGAGGGTTTTTTGATATCATCATCTGATCTAGTTGGTTTCATCAAATCCAGAGTTATAGACGGCTGTTGGGTAGGAAATGAACCAAAATAAAATCATGTCTTCAAAACTTAAGTACTTCAAATTTAGTAACAAAAGTGTACAAATATTAAAGGTAACCAACAATTCTAGTAGTTTACCCTTCTAAGAATGTATTCTTAATTATTAAATAATATAATACAATTTTGGATAAACTACCTATTTGATCACACACTATTCTTGTGTTTTTGTTTTGATTATTAATTATTCTTTTATCAAAATCATACTTATCCTATGTTTTATTTATCTCTTGGTCACTTACACTTAGATTTGATCGTTAACTTAACGAAAATGGTGATGTGATATGTTATAATAATAGTTTTAGTCCTTAAAACTTACAAATTCTATCAAATTTATCCTAATTAAAAATAATACAATAAATCCTCAATATTCTAAAGTCCTATCCATTTAGTCCAACATAAAATCTCAAAATTCCTCTCCCAAACCTTGATCTTCCCCAACGCCCATTGTTCAACATCATCATCACCCGTTTACTTGGTAGATGTTGTCGCCTTTCAATGATCATGTAGATACGTAAGGCAAATTATATATAAAAAAGGATAAAGTATACAAATGGTCCCCTTACTATAAGGCGTTGTTTTGTTAAGTTTCACGACTATTAAAAGTTACAAAATGGTCCCCCAACTATGTGGTGTTGTTTTGTTGAGTACCACGACTATTCATATGTTCTAAATCCATCATTCTCCGTTAAAAATTTGACGGTCGTCTAAGTTGGATGTTAAAATGTTGACTGAGATATGATAAAATTATATTTTAATAATATCTACTTGCACTGGCGTTGCTTTCAAGAACTGGCTCGACTACATAATGTTTCAAACACTAGCTCGATTACATAATGTAAATGGAGAATTGATCCAAAAAATATAACTCAAACGGTTTTGAGATCAGATTTTATCATATTATAGTCAACATGTTACATTCCAAATTAGATAGCAGCTAAATATTTAACGGAAAAGGACGAGTTTGGAACATGGATGGGTGGTCATTTTGTAACTTTTAATAGTTTGGGGACTCAAAAAAAAGCAATGTCCTATAATTATTGAATTATTTTGTAGCTTTTAAAAGTCAGAGGACTCAACAAAACGCCGCCTTATAATCGAGAGACATTTTTGCGTACTTTAAACAACGACACCCTACCCAAAAAAAATTACTATATATTTGAAGCTCGGAATCCAGCCATCATAAAATGCATTTCTATTCTTGAGTCCCCAATGCGGCTGCAAGCAGAGACAGTAGAAAGGAAAATCACCTTATTAGGTTTCATTCCAAAGTAAAGAAACTCAAAATACATGCTTAAAGTTGTCTCCCTTTTGCCATGACTAACATATCCTGCAATAATTGTGCTCTATACGATTAATTCTCATTGAGACATCTCCCTAAAACACTTAACAACAGAGTCCAAATCACCACATTTACAATACATATCCACTAGAGCTGTATCCACCACCACTAAGATGCATGGCCTAAGTCAACTTCTAATTACAAAGTTGTGGAACCACTTCCCCTAATGAAGAGCACCAGTAGATGCAAAGATTTGAAGCAAACTGGCAATAGTTCATGAATCAGGTTTTTGAAGGGTTGACCTTATTTCATCGAAGGAGAACAAGAGCTTAGATAAATAGTCGTTTTGGGCACACTGTTGAAAATTATTGCATTTCAAGAAACCGAATCCTTTTTGTCCAACCTCTCGAAAACTGCACAACTTTGCTCCAGATGACCAAAGTTGGCATACATGGTCAATTGCAAGAGTGTTTTGAGCAGGAAAATCTATTGTGGCAACGAATGGCACAACTTTGCTCCAGATGACCACAATGCTCCCACATTTGATATATGCATTCAACAATGAATTCCCCAAAGTCATGTCTGATTTAAAGCCGTGTAAACCACACAGCCATGCAAAACATATACGTAACCAAACTCAAATGCTCTAGAGACCAAGCTCAAGAAAGTAATCGGACTAGGTTCAACTTCATTTTATCGCATTTCATTGAGAGGTGATGGCGCAACTGAGCAAACTAACGGCGACGATATTAGGGGAATGAGTTTTGAGGAAGAAGATCGAGATTTGGTATAGAGATTTTGAGGTTTTATGTTGAACCAAATTAATAAGATTTTTAAAAATTGATTTTGTTAAATTATTTTGAATTAGGTTTAATTTGATAGGATGTGTAAGTTTTAGAGACTAAAAATATTATTATATATGTTCAAAGACTATCAATCATTTGACAATGAATACTCATATCATCGCGTACGTCATGCTTTAACTCGGAACCTCAAAGGATAACAACAAATCGTTTAACTACTGAAGTCACTTGATTCGTGATCAACTCACATATTCTTAAAGACTATTAAATTTATCATCCAATACTATTTCAGTTGGTGACTTGTCAATATTAATATCTATTATTTAATGAAAAACAATCTTGCATGAACCAATATCAAAGATGCTATCATTGTCACCCTAAATTAATAAAAAAAATGCATACCAATATCAAAGTTCATCCAAGTCCCAAAATATGCAAATTTTGTCCAATCATAAATTTATTTTGGCCGATGAAGGACTTGTTTAATAGCAACTAGATGATCTAAAATTTTTGAAAGATCATTCCACCATATATGATTTAATTTAAATTTATTTTTAGAAATGGTTTAAGAGCATGATATTTTTTTCTTTCGGTATTTAATCAATTAATTTAAATTAGATATTATAAAGGTCCAATATAGAAGTGACTTTTCTAATCTAAGTTGTATTAACATTGGAATTCAAATCTCTAATATTACTTAAAAAAAATTATAATATCTTATCCCATTCTATCGAGTGATTATTGATAAAATATGATATTTAGTTATTGCAACTTTGGGTTGTTATGCATAATGATCCTAATCATACAAAGTTGAATTCTGGAGATCTAAGGTTATTCAGATTAATTAGCATTTGTTGCCTTATTAGTCATTTTCACTGGATCGGGTGGATTTCTTTCTGAATCAAACATAACCACAAAAGCACGTGGTTTCAACAGTTGCGATTTTGTTTGATGGATGACTTGGAACCTAAAAGCAACAATGAAATTAATAGGATTGTTTAATATATTTTAACAAAATTAATAGGATGTAATGCGTTTGCCATTCTCAAAGGAAAAATGAACGGTGATATTAAAAAGTAATAATAAAAAATTAAATAATATCATAAACAAATTATTTAATATATAGATTACGTAAATTTTAATATATATATATATATATATATATATATATATATATATATTAATGATGCATGTCATGTTTAAGGTTTAAGGTTTAAGATTATAAATATATTTTTTTGGATAACTTGATTTTATTACCCAATGAGCAGTGAACTGTTTCAAAACACAATCAATGTTCAGTTATACAAAGATCACCCTAAATAAACAAAATGGCAATCAAAACAAAATTAGGCTATACCCCATTGGTTACAAAGATTAATATTAACACTGTCTAATCTATGAATAAACCTGCCCCTAAGTTGGAACCCAACAATTTTCTTTATCTCGCTGAACATAGCTTCGACATTTGAGGCTTGAGATTGAAAAAGTCTTTTGTTTCTCTCTTTCCAGATAATGTAGATCAAAGCATTGGAAGAAATTTTCAGAATTGAGGAAAGAAGGAATTTACCCTTCCAAGTAGCAGCAGCCCATTCAAATAAAGCATTCCAGGTTGAGTGCCTAAACCGAAGACCATTGAGAGAGAAGGTTGCAGTCCATAGAGCAGTTGCAATCGGGCACTCCAAAAATAAGTGGTTTCTGGTTTCCGTACCAGCACCACAAAAAATGCAATGGCAGTCGTTAACGATCCCCATTCGATACAACCTCTCTTTTGTAGGAAGTCTGTCTAGAAAAGTCATCCACATAATTAGACTATGCTTAGGAATTAGAAGAGGAAACCATAGCACAGAATGCCATTGAACTTTAGGGTTTTTCTCCCTAATGTCATTCCACAAATCAATTATTTTCTTGGAGACCGAAGGCAAGAAAGAGGAAGCTTCAGTCCTTAGCATCAGAATTTTCTTTAAGCTCCAGCTCATATTAGATTTAACATCAACATACCAGAAATCATGAGTACCAAAGATATAGCTCTTTAACCAAGCCACCCACAGAGATCCTTCACCAGCTAGAATATTCTTGATGAGGCTCATCATGCAAGCTTTGCTCCAAGTTTTCAAGTCCTTGAGACCAAGACTGCCCTCTGTTTTAGGCCTGTAGATTTTCTTCCAGCTCACTCTAGCACCCGCAGCCGGTTTATCAGCCCCTTTCCAGAAGAATCTGGAATATAACTGATCAATTTTTTTTATGACTGAGGAGGGAAGGAAAAGTTGCTTGCACCAATAATTAGTTATACTAATTAAAACAGCTCTAACGAGCTCCAGTCTTCCAGCATAACTCAAGGCCTTACCAGACCAATTATGCAACCGAGACCTAATGGTGTCAATAAGGGTTGAACAATATTTTTCTGTTAGTTTTCTTGTAACCAAAGGAATGCCCATATACCTTATTGGCAATCTGCCAATTTTGAATCCAGTAATCTTACTCAATTTCTCTAGAGTGGAATTAGAAATACCAGCAGAAAAAAAATGTCACATTTTGAAGCATTTAATAAATATTCTTGTATTAATTTAAGGTGAATACAAGTAGTATCTACTCTAAATTTTTTTAATTATTTGACAATAAAAGTTTAAATACATTAATAATTTTTAATGCTTGAAACTAAAACTTTTAGAAATAACAACACTCTTTAATCACAAGTATTTTGGTTCATACTAAACATTTCTTGTTTAAAATGAATAAAAAAATTGGGAAGAAAATGATTAATTACGTGACAATTTTTATGACACCTTTCCCCCTATATTTAATCATCGTTTCAATTATTGAGTTTAAGTCGGCGCAAAACTGTTCACTAGAACCTCTTATTTAAAATCATGATTGAATTATGTTTTTATAAAATAAGTTTTAAATGGAAATTTTATATAAACCTCTGTTTTGAAAATCGGACCGGATCGGTCGGTTCAACCGGTTTAACCGAGAACCGTTACTTAGTCCGATTTAATCTAAACCGATTAAACCACTATTAGTGAACCGGTCAGAACCGTTGAACCGTTCAAACCGGACCGGCTGAAAACCGAAAAAAAATCAGGAAAAAAAACCGGGAAAAACCAGGATTTTTGTTTTGTTTTTTTTTTTTAAATTAAACCAAACAACGTCGTTTGTTAAACGAGCCAAGTCGAACTCGAGTATTGTTGAGCTCAACTCGAACTTGAAAACTTTAAAAGTAAGCTCAACTCAACTCAAACTCACAAGCTAAAAATTATCAAGTTCAACTCAAACTCGAAATATAATATTGAAACTTGAACTCAAAAAGGCTTGAACTCAAAAAAAAATTAAAAGCTCGATTGAAGCCTAAAATTCGAGCTTGATTGAAGTGAAAGATTAGTTCACTTAATGCTCACCAAAAGGTTCCATGATTTTGAATGTCAAATTACCTCTATTATTTATAGAAGTTAGTTGTGATGCGCTTCTATGTTTCTTAGTAATGTGAGATTGTTTTGTTCTCATATTTTTACTCTTTAGACTTTTGGGATGTTCTTCTATGTTTCTCAGCCATGTGAGATTGTTTTTAAAAAAAATTAAACCAAACAATATCATTTTGTTATGATTTTTTAACCCCAAATTTATTTTTTAATTATAGTTATATAATTATATTTATTATTTAATATATTTTACCTTAAATATTATGTTGTAGTTAATTTGAATCATTTTTTTCACTTGATTTTATGGTTTTTAACTTATATATGTTATGACTTGCTTTGAATATGACTTGTGATATAAAAAAATATTTTTGGTATTTTTTATTTAATCTTTTAAATAATTATGACGTCGTCCAGTTCTTCCGACTGGTCAGACCGATTCGACCGGTTGAACCAGTAAACCGATAGCATGATCGATTCGCTAACCGGTCCGCTTCTGAAAACCATGATATAAACAGATTAAACTGCATAAATTGATTGAAGATAGGAGTATTTGAATAATTTCTACCAAAAGATTGAGAAAGAGAAGGGTTAATTGAAAATATTTTAACCCATTGCTCTAGAGATTACTCACTAAAGAAAAAAAATGTTTATTATTAAATTTTAATTAAATTTAAAATTGAAAAATGTTGTCTAAAATGATTTGGACTACATTAAATTCATTACCTGTGAGATTGATTTTAATGGGAAATTTTTAGTCAAATAATTCACGCGGTAAAAAAATTAAGGAAATATAGTCCGTAAAAAAATTACAATATATGATGATTGTTATAGTAAAATATGAACTCGTGGTTCTAGCACAATAAAATCTAACAAAATAATACTATCATTTAATCCAGCAAGATGAGTTTTCAGGGAATTTTCAGTAGAATTCATTTTGCTGGAATGAAAAATTCATTTAAATAATAATTTTAGTAAATTTTCCCTCTCAAATTATATTTTCCTTGTTTTTCTTTGCAGGAATTACTCATCTTAAAAAGATGACGTAAGATTAATTATATTATATTTTTTATATTAGAACTTTAAAAGAAATAAAATTTTGACCAGTACACAATCTTAAGCCCAAACCCAATTTTTGTAAGACGAAATAATTTTAATGTTTGGGGACAACACAGGAAAGTGAGAACTAATTTTGGTGTTAAGCGAAAGTGGAGAGACTTATCTCACTAAAGTTGGGGACCCAAGTGGGATGGGACCAAACGAACATATAATTATGAAACCCTGCACACCTGCTTTTGCCTAGTATGTGCGGGGCGGCACGTGGTGATAACCATGGGGACATCCGTCCCATCTCATCTAAAACGAACATATAATTTTATATTAAAAAATTATAAAATTTTAAGAATAAAAATAAATTATTAATAGAAAATATAAAAATAAATTTAAAATATAAAAAAATTAAAAGATTTAAAAAAACCACTGCTCTCGTCCATCCTCTCTCTATCTGTTCATCCCTAATCTCATCTTGCTAAAATAGTGAAGTGAAGGAGGGAGAATAATCCAAGGTGGAGTGGAGCGATTGGAGTGTCCTCAGTCCGTGACGACCGACACTTTGTGTGGGTTGTCATTGAACTGGCCAATAGCATCGGCATCGCGCTCAACTCTCGACACCTCGAAGCTATCCTGTACCAATTGAAATACTACCTTCTCCCCCAAAACTCCTAGCTACAATGATTTCAATGAAGGAAACATTTATCAAAGCATTAAAATTTTAGATTCTTTCTTTTTTATTAACTATATATATTTTTTAATGTAATGTAATTATTAAGAAAATTTTAAAATATCCTTTTAAGTATAATATCTTTCTTTTTTATTAACTATATATTTTTGTAATGTAATGTAATTATTAAGAAAATTTTAAAATATCCTTTTAAGTATAATTAATAAATGTGGATAATGCTAAAGAAAAAATATTTTATTATTTTAATTTCAAGTAAGTTCTTGAGAAGATAAATGAGCGATTCCAACCATCCACTCCTTTTTTTTATTTATTAATTTGGAATAAGTACAGTGTAGTATTTATTTAAAAATAACTCTCAATTATTTGACATTAATCGCTCGTACCCCTGGTATTACCAGCGCTCGAATCTAAAACTTTAAAAAAATATCAATAATTTCTTTACCACTAAGGTCACGGTATTCGTATCTACTCATTTTTAGAACTTTTAAACCCATCTACTTTTCATATGAAATTAATCTCTCTTCCCCCTATTTTACACAAAACAATATTTGATTCCTCTCTTTTCTCATCATTCTTCTCTTTTAAAGAGTAAAGTTGATTGAGTTCCATCTTTCTCGGAGTGTAAGAATGTGAGAGTGTTGTATTAATTTTGGGGAAAATATTTATTTTACAATTACAGTGATTAGGATGGAACTGTTTCTAAGACAATATAGTGTTTTTTACCATGATACAATGAATTTAATAAATTTTGTCGAATTTTATCACTAAATTCAAAATGACAAATTTCCATTTTACCTAGGAAATCAAAGATATTATAAATTCATTGTAGACAAATCAACTTAAATCGAGTTAACATCCATTCCCAAAAAAATATTTTTAAAATATGGGGATTATTTCGTAAAACATCACTTATTTAAACATCAAAGGTTAAAAAAATAAGTTCATGATCTTTTAAGAGATATTTCAAACGTTTACTCATGATATTGAACTCGAGTGATCTATCCTTTTAGAAAAAAAATCAAATTTTTCGTTCCAATAATCAAGAGATCGATCCATTTCCTAAAGGAATCGAATAATTTTCTAAAAAATTATAGAAAATGACTTGAATATGTAATTTTGAGCTAACAATTCAACACCTAATTGTTTATACAGCTAATGACTATACAAGAACATACTTGAATCATCACAACTATTTCAAAACATAACTGAAACATGCTTCATAAAATCCATCTAACATTTGAACAAGCCTTGAGAATCAAAAGTCTAATTATGTATTTTAAGTTGTATTTTAGAAACTCCTATACTCATATTTGACATATGGGTCTTGTTACATGCTCTACGTCACTCTCTACATAAAAATAACATCATACATCAAAATTATACTTTGCAAACATTTCAGACAAAGTCTATCAAAAACTAATAAAAAAATCCAAAAACAACATGTAACACTCTAATGCCACGAATTCCGAAATAGTGAGAATCGAGTTGTATATCTTTTGTTAATTACTTTGTCGACGACCACAATATATCTTTTGTCGACGATCATAATGCATATTCTACTTAATTACTTTGTTAATTTTAACGTTCTAATTGCATGAAATATAGAAAAGACGCATTGTACTCCTAGATTCTTCTCCGATACTTTAATAATCACTCCATCTCAAAAAAATATTTCTTCCACTATCTTATACAAACTAATCTTTTTTTTTCAACGTTCTATTGATCGATTTTGCCCTGTTGAAGCAGTTAACATGCTCCTGCTATTACTGCAACTTTCTGGTTGGTGTCGAAACCGCAATACGAGGTGTTTGACTGTCCGAATTCCCAGCTGGAGCTGATCCCAAAATACTGCAACAGACCGTTGGCGCCTTTATCATATTCACTAACTTACACCTCCTAACACGCACTTTAACTTTTTTTTTCTCTTTTATGTTTTGTATAAACAAAATATATTTTCTCAAGGAAAAGGATGATCAAATAATTGATCGAGTGCCACAACGTAGTTTGCCAGCTAAGATATTTGCTTTAAAAACCAAGAAATTGAAATTACACGCGCGACAAAAAAAATTGGGCACAAAATGCTCGCACGTGAAAGTGTGACTGATACGTGCAGGCTTATTGGCAGCTATAGAGGGAAGCGATGACGATGAACGAGTGATGAAAGAAGAAAACAAAGGAGAAAATAGGATAAACCTAGAGAAGGCCGCTTAGAAATCGGCTATTTTCCTGTGGGGACGAGATTTTGAGACATTTTTATCAACTTCTTGCAAGTTCTTCAGGCTTCGGATCGCCAGAATGTCGCCTCTCCGAGAATCAATAAATTGACCAGCATCACTGATTTCGGTTGATTCTGGAAATAATGAAAAATTAAAAAAAACACACGTAAAATTCAAGAAATAGAAAAGAAAAGATGAATTCAAGCTGCATTATACCTAAATGCTTCGAGGAATGTTGAAATCCATTAAAATGAGCCAAATCTGAAACAAAAATCAAAAGAACAAACAAAATGAAGATTAAACTCGAATAAACTTGCTTCCTCGCTTTAGCCGTTGACTGAAAACAAGAAAAGCTTACCAGACTGCGAAGGACTGTGAGAATTTAGGTAAAGAATGAGGAGGCAAAGGAGAGTAAGAACAGGAATCAGGTGAATGAGCTTCTCAGGCTTAGTAGGTGATGTGAACAAAGACGACGTCGGAGACAACGAAGAAGGCGAGGACGACAATCGGCGAGATTTGACATCTTTGCCATCATCGTCGTCGATGATTAGCTGGCGCTTCTGAACATCGGCGATCGAACTCTCTTCTCCGCCATGGATGCGGAGCTTGGAGCTCGGCGAGCCTAAGGATTGTCTGTGCATGTTCTAGAGAGAAACAGAGGTTGATTAGTGAAGATGAGGATTAGTTGTGGTTGGAGTATTTCTTTAAGAGATGGGCGACTTGTTTGTTTGTTTTCTTCCTTGGCTTTAACTTAGGTTTTTTCATGTTTAGTAGCCTTACAACTTAAGCATTAATTAATCCCAATAAATAAGTTTAAGTATGAATATGATTTATCTTTGCAAAAAGGTAACGAAGATATTGATTTGAGAGCTCTTTATGTAATTATGTTATGCTGAGGGACGCTTTTTTGCCTTTTTAGAAGCAAGTTTCCAAGTAAAATAATATTTGAGTATTTGTGGACCTCGGTCTTTAATAAATGAATTATTATGAGTAATCTTTACTCTTTTATTTGTTTTAAATTTTATTTATTAATTTAAATTATATTAATTCGTACTAAATTACTTAATTTTAAGTTTATAATTAAAAAGTATTCCAACATACATACTTAAAATAAACAATTATTTAAATTTATTCAAAATAAATAATATTTTAGATATAAAACAATTTATCTAAATACAATAACAAATTTGGAGGTTTCTTTTTAATAGTTTGTGTGATTATAAGGTAATATCTATTCAGAATTTTTAATCAATTGACAACGTATACACATCTTATAAACGTATGTGTTCGAACTCAAATTTTGTTTTAAATAATCTTCTTTACCTATAAGGTTATCTGTTCAAATTATGAGTTTTAAAATTGATGAATGAAGTGATCTTTTACTCTTTAAGTTAATAGAGTTATATTCACGCTAACCCAAGATGATTTGGGGCATTATAGAAACCTTTTTATATACTCCAGTTCTTTATATTTTTGTTTGTTGGTTGCTCTACTGTTTTTTTTAAAGAAAATTTTGTTTTGATTAATTCGGATCGATTTATGTCGCACATTTACCTCCTAGAAGAAATTTTTTGCATGTACAAGGACTTCGAACTAGTGACATGCTTAAACGATATCAAGATGCTTATCACTTGAATCAATTCCAATTAATCTAATTGTTTATACTTTAGTAACGATAATTATTATTTTTCCCTTTTTGGATAAATCATTTTTTTCAAGTGTAATACTAATTTAATAGCTTACTTAAAAAACAATTTATTAGCTTACTTGTTTATTTAATAGCTGTTTACTTATGTAGCAATAATTGGCTGTGTCTTATTCATTTTTGTAATAACATACATATCGAGAATCTCATTATTTGTGATAAAACTAACTGGAATGGTAAAAATTAATATAAAAATACCAACCAATTTAATAATCCAATAAAAATATAATATGAGATGGTAATTGATTTAATGAAGAAAATCATGGTCGAAATGAATGGCAGGTAGTTAAAAGGACTTCAAAATACTTTCTTTAACTTTTCTGTTTGTTTCCTTTCTAAATCGGAATCTGTTTCTCTTCTGTCACCAGACCCGAATATACAGCAGAGAGACATAGAAGTTGGTCAGCATCTTGGCTACTGGATCCTCCGCTTGCTTGACAAAAATGAAACCTTCTGCGCAGATCTGACCTCGTAGTCACTGCAAACCCCACCGTGATGCTGGCAATAGAAACATGAACATCCCAAACCAAGTGAATAAATCCACTCCATTCGATGCTATGTTATTTCGCCACTTTTTATGTGATTGCAATGTTATCTATCTTGTTTGAATGTTCTGTATTTTATTTTTATAATTATTAGTATCCGAACTATTAATCGATTAATTTGAATTGAGTACTGTAGAAACGAGGGCGGTCATCCTAACCCAGTTTATTTCATTCGCTAATGTCATGATTCAAATCTCTAATCTTACTTAAGAGATCTAATGTCTCATATTATTAAACCAACTGATAACCGGTCGTTGGTATGTTCTATATCTTATATATTATAATTTCCCCCTCAATTTCCATTATTACAGTGTACGTTATATTTTATGTATTTTTAAAATGTACATCAGAAAGATCAGATAAAGTAGTAAATGATATTTTTTGTAATTGTAAAAAATTGGTTAATTTTATGAGATGAGATTAATTTCTTTACATAATGGGATGATGTTAATTAAATGATGTGAATAGGGGTGCTTAATGAGTAGAACAGTTAGTGAGCAGTTTGAATTTGACTTAGTTAAACCTCAGTCAAAGCTCGATACGAACTCGAGCTCGACTCGAGATCTTAATAAGTTGAATCGAGCAAAGATTAACTCGACTCGATAAGTTCGCGAGCAGCTCACTAATATTTTTTTTATAACATTTTAGTAATTATTTTAAAAAATTATTAATTTACTTATAGATAATGAAAAAGATGATAAATTATTAACCTATTAATTTTCTAATAAAAAATAAAGAAATATTAAATTATCAACTAATAATTATTATTTTACTACACCCTTAATCAGACATTAAATTATTATTTTAATATATTTGTTGATTGTTCTTTTGAAGTTTAAACTTTAAAATTGCTTCATACACTCTTTCGATAATTTTGGATTAAATTTATTAATTTATGCTTATCTTAAGTTATACATAGTTTAGTAGATTTTACCTATAGTTATAAAATCAAGACAAACATTTTGGTGTGTTTAACGAGCAACGAGAAGAGCAACGAGTTTACCAAGCAACAAGCTTAATAAGCAACGAGTCGAATCGAACAACAAAACTTTTTTAACGAGCACGAGTTGATCACTACCTAACTAAAATTCAATAAATAAATTATACAATACTTTTATCAAAATAATATAGATATATTTTTTTTTTTTAAAAAAGACTAAACCAACTAAATTCAATTGGTCAATTATACAATATTTTTATCAAAATAAAATCGAAAAAAAAACTGAATCAGCTACTATTGTTTTAAATATCAATTCTTTAAATAACGTCTAAAAATTTATATCTTGATTCATAAATGAAATAGACTAAATAAAAAATATTATTTTCATGATAAATTTTTTACAATAATTAAATCCGAATTATTCGACAATAGAACAATCCCGGATGGTTATACCAAGAGAAGAAAACTGCGGTGTCGATTTTCCATTGATTGAACAAATTTGGAAACTTCAGGGTTTAATATCAATATTTTCTAAGAAAGAGGGACTAAATTCGCATTTTACCGAGGATTAAGAAAAGGACCTCCCTTTAATAAAAGAAATTTACGAAGGCCGAACATTTTTTTCATCCCATAAAAATTCCTCGGAATTTTCCCTCAAACTTTGCCCCTTTCAATTAATCCATTTTGTTTATTTCCAGTCTCCACTGTTGTACTCCAAACTATCTCTGCTCTTGCAAAGGTAAATATGATTATTATTATTATTATTGTTCCTGTCATTTTTCTCTTAATGGGGATGTTATCCTGCGACCAATTCGAAAAGTTCTCGGGGGGAAGGTAACGAATTAGGGAAACACAGATAATGAATTTCATTCTCATAAATCATCGTTTTTTCAATTTATCAGAGAATGGAATTAGCGGATCGAGCAGTTGGCTTCCTATTAACTTTTACCAGTTTATCCATTTTCACATATTACACGTTTTGGGTCATCATCCTGGTCAGTATCTAATGCTATACAAGTAATTCATTCTCGATTTGATTCAATCGTAACCCAGTAATGTTAATGAACTTATGATTGATTCTGATTTGTGACTCTAAAAATTCTATCGGTCATGTATTTCAGCCATTTGTGGACAGTGATAACTTCATCCACAACTATTTCCTACCCCAGGAATATGCCATACTGATCCCCGTGTGTGCTGGTGTGGTGCTTCTTTCTCTCCTCTGCATATTTATTGGGTTGGTGCTGCTCAAATCCAAGAAGAAGAAGGCTTGAAGCTTCGTGTTCTTAAAACATGCCCTAGGTATAGATTTCCTTGTTTTCTTCTCTTGGAATTTTAGTTTTGAGATAAGAATTGTGTTCAGGATATCTTAATTTGCTAAGATTGTTGAACTTTTGCACAACTGTCATTGATTTTTCTGGCTAATACATAACTGCTATAGAGAACTCAGTGTGTTTTCTTTCTTTCTGAAATAGTTGAAGCCTAAAACACTTAGTTTTTCATTTCTCATGTTTCACTCTATGGAGAAATCTTCATTCAAACCCTGCCCTGGTTTTTGGTATTTTAGTAGGCCTGTTGAATGTCAAACATAATAGATTGTCATAAGAGCTTGAGCTGCCAAAGAATACAAGAAGACATGATCTTTTCCTTTGTTAATATGTAGGTTGATTGTAACAATTTTGAGTTGCATCACATCAGCTCTATCAGGCTTATAGAGATATCAGTATTCATCATTACTTTAGACACTTTTTGGCAATGGGGCATTTAGTAGGAAAACAAATACATTCCTTGTGGAACACTGAATAGAACATAAAATCTTTTCTGATATCAAAACTTCTGATCGGTTTGCAATCAGCATTGGCTAAGATATTTTTAGGCTTTAGCATTTGCTATAGGAACACATACATTTGAAACAAGGATATAAGAAGCAACCAACAAGAACTTGAATTGCATAATATCTATGCAATATGTTATCTACACCCAAACAAGAAGAATCATAATCATTAGTTTAAGAGAATGTCAAAATGTATTTTAGGTCCTGAAGAAGCTGATAAAGAAAAAACCTTTAGTGTTCTGGAGTCAAATCATCGTTTGCTTTGATAACCTGGTATGATCAATGATATATTGAAGATTTACATCTTGTAAATAGAATGTTTTACATGAAAAATGAAGGATTTGTGTTGTCCTGCACCAGCACAGTATGTGGGACTAAAACAGATGAACATGATTGCTAACTCATTCAAGAATGATGGCACAATTCCTTATATCTACACATTTGACAAAAGACAGTTTGTAAATAAAGTGCATAACTTTATCTCAAGTGAATAAAAATACATGTATGTTGAATTATTCTTCTATTCCCCATAGCAAACAGAATAAATAAATGAATATGATAGATTATCTCAAGTGCATAACTTGTGTTCTACTGATAAGGAACATCGTTAAAATCTGAATTGATATAAAATTTCGAGATTGATCCCATACAACTTCTCCCTTTTTCCCAAACCAAGAATTCTATACGTAAGTCTATTACGGTTAAAATTTTGCAAAATGATGGCGTTATAGTATTTAATTTTACCTATTTTAGGATATCTAACTTCAGCTACATGTTGAATCTTAATAATGTGCCAAAGCATGTAGTTTCTCCTTCTGCCAACCTTTTCTTTTGGCTTCCTGCCGATACCCCATGCTATAAACCCTATTTTTTGTTACATGCCGGAAATCCCCTTTATTTTTCTTCGTGAGATGAAAAGAACGAACCTGCACCCATGGGAAGAAAAGGGAGAAAAATGAAAGGAAAAAAAAAACATTTTCATAAGATCATCATGAATCATTTGTTCATTTTTATCAATCTTCATTACTACGTCCTGGGATGATGAGATCGTTGGGACTAAAAGGCTATCAAACATTCGTGTAACACAACAAGAAATCTCTTTATCACATATGTTTCTTGCATGCTCTTTGCGTCATATATATATATATGTGTGTGTGTGTGTGTGTGAGAGAGAGAGAGAGAGAGAGAGAAACATTCTCAGTAAATGGACCCTCCAACCCATTAGTCTAAACGTGTTATGTCCAATAACCATTGCTATAAAAACCCACACTGTTAGAGTTAAGTTATGAAATTTAGAGCCCAGTTCCAGCATATCGTACCTCTCCCAAAATTCTTAGAGAATTGGAGTTCAAGCAACTACAATTATAAAGTGTATATTATTAATAGATTATTTTTTAAAAAAAAATAAACAATACTCCATAATTAACTCATATTATTTTTTAAAAAAATAAACAATACTCTATAATTATTCAGAAAAAGAAAGGAAAAAAAACTGTCAACTTACGACTTGATAATAGCATAAGTTTTCTTATCATTACATCGATAAGAAATTTAGTTTTGTAAAAAAGAAATAATTTAGCAACTGTGCTTCATTGTTCACCGAGTGGGAAGACCTAACAATTTAATTATTAAAATTTTTATTAATTTTATCCCAACAAACTTCGATGTCATGCACTAATATAACATCATAGGCAAGGCTCTTGTTCCCCTCTAATTCAAAGTAAATCAACTTGAATTTATTTCCACAACCGTTGCATCCCATATTTTTAATGACAACCACCAAATTAAACCACCCCGCTGTAACATTGCTATTGCTAGGATTGTTCATTAAAAAAGAAAGAAAGAAATTACAATTTCATATATATATATATATATATATATATATATATATATATATTGGATAAAAATGAATATATGAATTTTTACAGATATTATGATTCCAATATTTAAAATTATTTGATATTTTATTTTAAAAACAATTGTATTAACCAATGAATTACAAGTCAAACTTATATCTTTGAAGACTACAAATTTCTTTTGATAAATTCTAAATCTAATTCTAATCTTACTTAGAGAGGAGAGGAAGGGGGAAGAGAGGGGAGTGCTCTTAGTGAATTTAGAACCTATGACTTAAGGGAATATGAAAGAACAAAGATGAACATTTTGGTCAACCGAGCAAGTTCTAGTTTAGGAAAGGATACTACAAATTCTAGAAAACCTATTTAATTGAAAATGATAATTATTGCATATTAGGGTTTATTTGCTGATTTAGGTCAAAGAACTTTTTATAGGGATGAGCACAAATTACTACAGCTCTGCAAAAGAAAATTTTATTGCTATGTATAATATGTCTTGGTTATATTATCAGCTTCTACCTGAATAAGAGATGGGGGTTGTGAACTTATCTATTTGACCAAGCAAAATTATTTGTGGACAGTAATCATGGTATAGGGATGCCTTTGGGCTTTGCCTATTGGGCAGTTTGGTCCCCCTCCATGTTTATTGATTAGGCTGGTTCACCAAATTTTTGTACTATAATTTATGGCCACACGTTCATAAAGAATTTACATCTTCAAATTTATGTTTCCGGAAAATTAAATTAAAAATATTATATTTATATTACCATATGTTGACTATAAGAATTTAATTGTTAATAAAATAACCTAAACTAAGTTAAAAATAGAATAATTACGATAAATTATATATAATATAAATGAATTAAAACATAATACAAAAAATACGAAAAAATTAACTAAAAAAAGTAACATGAACACATAACGGTACTTGAAAGTGTAAAAAATATATTAAAAAAAGCACAAACTAAACGATTTCAGTGGTTAAGATATTGTTGTTATCTTTTAAGATCTTAGGTTTGAGCACGACACCTTCAGGGGTCACTCTCACTTCTACAGTACTCGATCTGGATTAGCGGGACATATCATAAAAATTAGCTGACCCTATTCCCATATGTAATGAGGTAAGGTAGGGTAGTAAGATGCCCCCAATGCTAGGTTGAGAGCAACTTCCGTGGAAGACCTCCAGCAATTATGAATTGCCCACCGTGGGACTCGATCCCACGACCACAAGGTTAAGGGCCTTGCGCTCTACCAACTGAGTTGGACGGGCAATTAAATCATATCAAAATGATATCCACCACTAATTTTATAAGGTAAAATTCATAAATGGACATTAAATCATATCAAAATGATGTTTTTTATATACCAAACCTCCAAAAGTTATATAATAGATATTAAACTTTAGATTGCTTTACAAAAAAACAAACACACAACACTATTATCTACCATTAAAGATGTGATATGGTATGCTAAATTAATAGAAAATATCTCATTTGACCCTTTGATTGTAACTAAAATTTTATTTTACTATTAACTTTAATTAAAATAATTTTTATTATGTCAATTGAATTGAAAAAATGGATATAAATAAATTAAATATTATTTTTAGTGTCATGTTATAAATATTAAATTTATATCATATAAATCATTTGATACATTGTTAAAAGTTAAGGATTGTTTTGATTATGTTTATTTAAGTTTTGATGTATTGTTCTTATTAATGTGATACTATAATTTTTTGAATGTGTTTTTTTAAAATTGTGTTTAAAATTCTTAAACAAAAGTCAAGTGATTGAATCACATCATTTAATAAAAAATAATAACATTGATTGATAATTCAATTTTTTAATCTAAAAAATTATAAACATTTAATTTTACAAATACAATCACAATTAATAAATAATTAGTTATAAAATAATTTGATGAATGAATATTTTCCAAAAAAAATTGTAACTTTTAATTTTAAAATTAAATTATTTTCATATATTTTTTAAAAATTCTAAATTTTTAATTTCATTTTGAAATTATTACTTAATATTATAAAAAAAAAATATGAAACATGAAATTTCAGTTATAACTGAAGGGTCAGATAAGATATTTCCTATTAATTTAGCATGAGATGTCACTCCCTTAACAATATTTCATGGTTGCTACCTATTTTTTAATAAAATTTAAAGTTTAATTTCTATTTTATAACTTTTAAAAATTCAATAACAAATGAAATCATTTTAATAAATTTAATGATCATTTATAAATTTTGTCATATTTTTATATTAGTGATGCATATCGGTACATATCATTAATAGTACACATCAGTGTGTATCATTCACTCTAGACCCATCCATATATATATATATATATATATGGATACCTTCCACATTTCTCTTATATATATAATGCCTCAGATAACCTTTTTGATGCATCTTTGAAATTTATCCATAATTTAAAGTTTATTAATTTCTGATTTAGGGGAGGAATGAGATATAAACAATTTAGATATTGTATTAAAAATATTTATTTTTGATGAATTAATTATTCATTTTATGTTTGTAACAATTAATTATACTGAAACTGCTAATATAGTAATGAGTTTGTAATTTTTTTTAATAATATGAGGTGATTATAAAGTAATATATGTTTAGAATTTTTTTAACTATTGATAAGACATATCATACAGACGTAACTACTCGAATCCAATATCTAAAAAAAAATCAATACTTCCTTCAACCATAAAC